AAGAAGAGAGCCATTGTTGAAAGAAAGCCATAAGAAGTCCTGTTTGCAGTTTGTGAGAAGCCATGTGGGGGACGCAGCAAACGTGGAAGAAGGTGCTCTGGTCAGATGAGACCAAAATTTAACTTTTTGGTCTAAAGGCCAAACGCTGTGTTTGGCGAAAAACTGCACATCACCCTGAACACACCATCCCCATTGTGAAACAAAAAATGTAACCCTCCTAGATGTGCAAAGGTGGAAGAGACCTCCCCAAAGAGACTTGCAGCTGTAACTGCAGCAAAAGGTGGTTCTACAAAGTTGTGACTCGGGGACTGAATACAAATGCACACCACGCATTTCAGATGTGTTTTGTATAAAATGTTGAAAACCATTTATCATTTTCCTTCCCACTTCACAATAATGTACCACTTTGTGTTCATATATCACATAAAATGCCAATAAAATACATTTGTTTTTTGTTGTAACATGACAAAATGTGGAAAATTTCAAAGGGTATGAATACTTTTTTCAAGGCACTGTATTGGGGGAGATTTACTAAATCTGGTGCAGCTGTGCATGCTAGCCAATCAGCTTCTAACTTCAGCTTGTTCAGTTAAATCTTGACAATAATGCAGGCCATAGATGGGTCGAAAATCGGCCGATTTTTTTTTTTTTTTTTTTTTTTTTTTTTTTTTTTTTTTTTTTTTTTTTTTTTTTTTTTTTTTTTCGGGCGAAAATAAAATCGGCCAATTTTCGGATCGTTAGTGGGTTAATTGTTCGGCCGTTTTTCGGTATTTTGGCAGATTTTTTTTATCGGTAAAGTTGGAAAAAGATCGGCCGATTTTGCAGATCGGATGATTTTCGCGGCAATTATGGGCAAATCGGCCGATCTTTTTACCGATAAAAAAATCTGCGCATGAGCAGTGACCTGCAAGAGGAAGAAAAAGAGGATGAGGAGGAAAAAGAAGAGGATGAGGAGGAAGAAGAAGAATTCCAGTCCGGCAAAAAGTGTCCCTGCAGAGAGCTCCGCTATTTCTTTGACACTGCTTTTGACATTTATAGCGGTTGCAACAATGTATCTATTTGTTTTCGAATAAAAACATCTGTATCCAAAATGGATACAAATAGATACATTGTTGCATCCACTATAAATGTCAAAGCACTGTCAAAGAAATAGCGGAGCTCTCTGCAGGGACACTTTTTGCTGGCTGTAGACGGGATGAAAATCGGCCGATTTTTCTCCCCCTCTATGGCCTGCATTAGCCTGGGTTCACACTGATGCGGTGCAGAATTCACAATGTTTTTTGTGCGAATTCCGCACTGCATCAGAATCGCACCCCATTCATGCAAACCGATGCGGGTGTGTATGTTAACACCCCAAAATTGGTCCAAAACACGGCGAGATGTGCAGAATCGGATTGCATAGGTGTGAATACCCATGCGATCCGAATCTAGTGCAGACCCAAAAAAGGGTCCTGCACCTTTTTTGGCTCCTGTGCGAATTACCTGTGATGTACTGCACCACGTTAGTGTGAACCTGATTGGTTTCTATGCAGAGCTGCACCACATTTTGCATGCTCGCAAATCTCCCGCATTATATCTGGATGCATAGATAGGCTTTTCATAGCAATGAATAGGTTTAGATTGAAGGTTGTACTGAGATTGTTCAGATTGTAACTTGTTTGGCTACCATAAGACCAAGGGCAATTAATCCTACTTCCATCCACATAGACTTTACATTTCAAGTGCCTGAGTTTTGGGTGTATTTGCTGCTTAACACTAACTTTCAATAAATCTTTTAGGCAGTATAATATTTTCCTTCCACTAGTAATGTAGTGGTGTCACCATGTACCTGTATCATGCTTGTACCACCTGGTACTGGGAATAAAGTAGGCTTGGAAGAAGCCGTTGGTTACCTCCGCACCTGGCCAGCACTGATCTAAACCTCTTGGAATGTAGAGGAAAGGCCTTCTGTGTATAATCTGAAGTGACTGTTTGGTTTAGGAAAAAAGACTACAGTGTATATCTAAATAAGCCTTATTAGTCATACTCTGGGCTGCATTTCCGTCTTCCAAGTAAGTATTTTAGCACTCTTTAATTGCTGAATAACCAAGGAAACAATTCTGCTATGGTAGTCCCCCTCATTTGTGTTAGTGTAAGTGTACTTGATCATAATACCCAGCAGGTACCAAGGAACTAAAGTTTTGGAGCAAAAACAGGTGAACAGACAAATAAAATAAATGTATTTTGAATATTTATTTCCCCATATTTTATCCCTTTTAATCCTATGGCATCAGCTCCCGTCGGCCCTAAGATAGGTGGAGTTTACCATGGGACCACTGTGACTGGTTGCAGCGGTCACATGATCAGGAGCCCCACCCACCAGCTCCTGATCATAAACGGTGACCAGGAGCTGTCAGTGGAGCCAGCTGACACATATAAAGTACAACGCACTGTAAACCTCTGGGAACTGAGGAGACCAGTTGCTGGAGTTTTGGGAGTGGAATGTAGTCCCATTCTTGCCTGATCTAGGTTTCTAACTGCTCAACAGTCCTGGGTCTGCTTTATCTTATTTTTCATTTCAAGATGTGCCAAATACTTTAAATTGGTCAAAGGTCTGGACTGCAGGCACACCAGTTAAGCACCCGGACTCTTCTGCTACGAAGTCATGCTGTTGTCAAAGATGCAGTATGCGGCTTAGCATTGTCCTGCTGAAATATACAAGGTGTTCCCTGAAAGTCATTGTCTGGATGGGAGCATAAGCTGCTGTAAAACCTGGATATATCTTTCAGCATTGATGTTGCCTTTCCAGATGTGCAAGCTGCCCATTTCTTATGAATGAATGCACCCCCATACCATCAGAGATGCAGGCTTTTGAGCTGAGCACTGACAACAAGCTGTAAGGTCTCTCTTCTCTTTAGTCAAATACCATCAAGCTTGATCCAGCCATCTTCATTGTACTGCCCTGCTCGAAAAGACAGTCATTCTTCTGATGAAGATGCTGCATGGTGGGCATGTGAACCATGACCCAATTGGTTGCTATTGGAAAGCTGTGCCCTGAACAACTGGTAGAGGCCACCATGTAATAAATGGGGTCCTGGCGCCCATGTGTAGTATGACTTGGCTGTTTTAGGGACAAAGGTTGTGAGGCAGTCGAGCAATGCAGATCCTGCTTGGGGAATAAAGGTAAATATTTGTCATAGTGGCCAAGATTCGGGGGTTCAGGGGAATTTTTTTAATAGAAAATAGTACAAGATACAGTTGCACATTAACAAGGAGGAACATTTTTGGTTTTAGTTTTCAACCCAACTACATAGTAGGCTTTTCATCCTTTGCAGCCTTACAGTATTTCCTGTATTGCATTACAAGTACACAGAATACTATTACATATAGCTAGGAGTTGCTGTTTAACTACAAGAATTGTGATTGAACTTTACATAGTTGTACCTATAAGTTATATTACTTTCTCACAAGCGTGCAGGGTGTGGTAGTGATGTGAGAATGATATGCCCTGCTGCAATCCGCATGTCGTATTATTGAAAAAACAAATTACAGCAATTGTAAACAGGGCTTTATATTGGGGAATCTACAAATTTCTAGAAGTCCAAGCAATTAAAAATGTTAAACCTTACAGTAGATGTGTAGTCGACATAAATACACTGTAGGTTCCCTTTAATTGTCTACTACCCTTTTTAAGCTCTCTTAAAGAGACCCTGTCATCAGACCATTTAAAGGATAAGTTCACCTTTCGTAACATGTTACACCCATGTTCAGGGTGTAACATGTAACGATGAAACCAGCCCCTGTTCCTCCACATTGACAGCTAGTGGGGAATCTTCTCACAGCCCCCCCCCCCCCCCCAATTGTCATTTGAAAAGAAAAACGTGTCCGTTCAGGGCTCCGCCTGCCTGGCTGTGTCACTCATTCACAGTCCTTTGTGAATGAGAGACTACAAGTCCCAACAGTCTTAGCGTCTGTCGACTTGTAGTCCTCAATGAACTACCATGGTGCTGTGGTTGTTAATTTAATCTTCTTGTCAGTATATCTGCTTGCTCGTACATCATGTAAGGGCAAGCAGATATACTGACAGATCTGCAGGAGACCTGCATGGCACCAGTGATCTGCTGATCGCTGGTGCAATGCTTTAAAGGCTCCTGCAGACAACTATAATCAATACACATTTTTTTACTTGCAAATAAAGTGCATTTATTTTTTACTAAAATGTGAACATCTCCTTTTTAAACAGAAATTCTTCCCATAGGATTATACACTATATTGCCAAAGTATTGGGAAGTCTGCCTTTACACGCACATGAACTTTAATGGCATCCCAGTCTTAGTCCGTAGGGTTCAATATAGAGTTGGCTCACCCTTTGCAGCTATAACAGCTTCAACTCTTCTGGGAAATCTGTCCACAAGGTTTACGAGTGTGTCTATGGGAATGTTTGACCATTCTTCCAGAAGCACATTTGTGAGGTCAGGCACTGATGTTGGACAAGAAGGCCTGGCTCACAGTCTCCATCCTAATTCATCCCAAAGGTGTTCTATCGGGTTGAGGTGAGGACTCTGTGAGGCCAGTCAAGTTACTGCACGCCAGACTCACTCATCCATGTCTTTGTGGACCTTGCTTTGTGCACTGGTGTGCAGTTATGTTGGAACATGAAGAGGATATCCCCAAACTGTTACCACAAAGTTGGGAGCATGAAATTGTCCAAAATGTCTTGGTATGCTGATGCCTCAAGAGTTCCCTTCACTGGAACGAAGGGGCCAAGCCCAACCCCTGAAAACCCCACACCATAATGCCCCCTCCACCAAACTTTACACTTGGCACAATGCAACCAGACAAGTACCGTTCACCTGGTAACCGCCAAACCCAGACATGTCCATAAGATTGCCAGACAGAAGTGTGATTCGTCACTCCAGGGAACACATCTCCACTGCTCTAGAGTCCAGTGGTGGTGTGCTTTACACCATTGTATCCGACGCTTTGCATTACACTTGGGGATGTAAGGGTGATGCAGCTGTTTGGCCATGGAAACCCATTCCGTGAAGCTCTCTATGCACTGTTGTGCTAATCTGAAGACCACACAAAGTTTGGAGGTCTTTAGCTATTGACTCTGGAGACAGTGACTTCTACGCACTGTGCGCGTCAGCATGCGCTGACCCCGCTCTGTCATTTTTTGTGGCCTACCACTTCGTGGCTGAGTTGCTGCTGTTCCCAGTTGCTTCCACTTTGTTATAATACCACTAACAGTTGACCATGAAATGTTTAGTAGCAAGAAAATTTCATGGATGGACTTATTGCACAGGTGGCAACCTATCGTAGTACCACGCTTGAATTCACTGAGCTCCAGAGAGCAATTCATTCACAAATATTTGTAGAAGCAGTCTGCATGCCTAGGTGGTTGATTTTATACACCTGTGGCCATGGAGGTGATTGGAACACCTGAATCCAATGATCTTAGATTGTAAACTCCAAGGAGCAGGGCCCTCCTAACCCTCTTGTATTGAGCAGTTTTGTTGCTGTATTTCTCCATTTAGTTTGTAAAGCGCTGCGCAAACTGTTGGCACTATATAAATCCTGTATAATAATAATTTGGAGGGTGTCCCAATACTTTTGAAATTATAATGTGTGTAGGATTTTTTTTTTTGTGGTGGTGGGTGGGATTATATGTGGATTTAATGTATAGTTTTTTTTAATCACTTGCCCTCCAGAGGATTTACCCCCCCCCCCCTTCCTGACCAGGCCATTTTTTTGAGTTACGGCGGTGCGTTACTTTTAACTGACAATTGTGCGGTCATGCAACCCTGCACCCAAATTAAATTTATGTTCTTTTTTTTTTTTTTTTTTTTCGGTGGTATTTGATCAACTGTGCTTTTTTATATTTCTTTTGTGCTATTTTAAAAAAAAAAAAAAAGAATTTGAGACAATAAAAAACAATATTTTTGACTTCTTGATATTAAACATGTCCAGTAAAAAATTTTTAGAAAATCAAGTTTTGTCATGAATTTTAAAACAAAATGTATTTTGCTAAAAAAAAAAAAAAAAAATCCCAATACGTGTAAATGAATTGGCTTACATGAAAGTTATAACGTTTACAAATGGCGGTATATATACTGGAATTTTTTTTTTTTTCAGTAATGATGGCGATCAGCAACTTATAGCTGGACTGCGGCAGGCATTCTGACACTAAAGGGGGAACTGACTTGGTGTCACTGACATCCTCAGTGACACCAATACAGTAATCAGTGCTAATAAATTGCACTGACACTGTACTAATGGCACTGGGCAGGAAGGGGTTAACATCTGGGGCGATCAAAGGGTTAACTGTGCGCTGTGTGTTTTACTATGAGGCTGTGTCTGTGCTTTCCATTGTAAGCACACTGCTTTGCATGAGCCATACAAAGCAGTGTGCAGGAGCTGACTGGAGAGAACTGTATTGTTTACATACAGTTCTCTTTCCCCCCCCCCCCCATTGGTAATGCTCGGCGATCACTGGTTCTGGCTAGTAATCACCAGCCGGGACACGGTGATTGACAGCCGAGGCCGTGAATGGTGGCATTGGTAGGGCTCGCACACGTTTCGCCCCATCTGGAAATGCAAAATCGTGTGTGTGTGTGTGTATGTATGTGTGTATATATATGTATGTGATTTTGCACACCCCTGCCGCCCTGTAGCAGTATTTCTGCTATAGGGCGGCAGGAAAGTAGTTAAAGTAAAAAAAAAAAAGTGATCCGTTTTCAAATAGTTATATTTAGGCTGGCCATAGACGGGCCGTTTATCGGCCGAATTTGTTGGCCGATAAACGAAAAATCGATTGTTGCTGCCATGGATGCTGCTGCCAATGCTCACGAAAAACGTTCTTTTTTTTGTGGATTTTCTACCATGACCGATAAAAAGAAACGAGAAGATCTGCGAAAAAATGGCTGACTGATGAATATTGGGCGATTTTTTTTCGTTCGGACTATCTGTCTATGGCCTGCATTAATAATAAAAACGTGTTAGTTACATAATAAATTACAAAACTATGAAGTAAGTCCTCAAATTTCATGTCATCATTATCATGTTATGAATGCTGTATGTGCCCTCCACCTGCTGCACAGATGACACCAAGACAATAGCTGAATGAATCCCCAATGCTCCTGAGCATGTCTGTCTTCTTCCACAGGAGTTACTGCAGCCGTGATTCTGTTTTTGATCTCATCAAAGTCAGTGGGTAATGGTGGAACATAAACATGTTGTTTTCCTTATCCTCACGAGAAAAGTCACAGGGTATAATGTCTGGAGATCTTGGGGGCCAAGAGTGTCTTTAGTTGTACTTTAAGTGTATTTAGTCTTTTTGTCTTTGTTATACATAGGTTATACAGCAGGCTGCAAGCATCTTAATTCAGACGGTTCTACAATAATGGTTAACAATGTGTGTCATAGTGCAGAACACTATTACAGCTTCACTATATTCTCCTTGAGCTATCTTACATGGATAAAAGAAATGCATGGCAAAAATACTACAGTTATGTATCTTCATATGGTCCAAGTCAAAATTTAAACACTACATTACAGGCCATTAGAATACGTTGTCCAAATGCAATTCAGAAACAGAACACATAGGCCTTTGTAATCCATGACTATGGGCTGAGGGAAGCTAGAGACGAAAGTTTGAACACGTTGGCGTCATTTTCCCCTTCATTTTGCACATTGTTTGCATTGCACTTGAACATTGCAGCTTCCTATATTATTAACTGGAGAAGCACCAGGTAAACGATCATGGAGAAATAGGGTGAGGAACACACAATGAAAAGCACCTGTTCACCAGTCTGTATAAATAGATCATTGTCTCCTAGAAAATATGTGCTGTGTGGAATGCAGTTCTTTTAGAACCATGAAGTAGCATTCCTCTATACTGCTGTATTATATCATGCATGTGAGTAGTTTGTTCAAATAGATATGGTGAAGATGTATATGGAAAAACATGGTGCACTACTTATCTAATGATCATGTAAGTATTGTGCGGGATAGTACAGTCCAGTCCATATTTTTAAAATTAAAATTTTTTTTTCTCCATTTTGCAGATGTGTTAGGGTGGACCTGAACTCAAAAAAGATTTCACGAGAAATGGTCCTCCCCAAGCAGACATTGCGTTAAACCTGTAGTTAAATGAGAGAACTAGAACCTTGTGGAAGATTGGGTTTGATAATAAAGTTGGCAATGCCTCCACCTAGGACAGGGCCTCTGTGAACAGAGGGAATTCCCTTCCTGGAAACTTAACCAGTAATCTGATCAAAGTAATTGGCTACAGAGGAACTACTGCAACCAACATATAACATTACCCATAGGAATATAGATGCATACCAGTGTGGACATAATGCAAGTTTTATATAATAGATCAAAGTAGAACTAAAGTCAAAATTTTCTTTTTTTCATTTTCGGTAAAAGTAAGAGAACCCCTGTGAGTTGTTGTGGTTTTTTATTTATTTATTTTTTTTTGCCATCTGTGCCCCATTGGAGAGATTTACCTTCACTTCCTGTCCCATAGCCAAAACAGGAAGTGAGCGGAAATCCTTGCAAATTAAGAGAATCCTTAAAACAAAGGGCCAGTTTACTGCCCTTCAGAATGTTGCCAGTAAAGGTAGGCGTGTCCCAGACCCAGCATCAGTGAGAATAAACATTGCCTTAACCACATGCCGCCCAGCCACTGTACATATACGGCGGCAGGGCGGCACTCACAGGCAAAACCACGTTTTAAAACGTGTGTTTTGTAAACAAATAGGGGACGCGCACGAGGCGCGCCGCCACCTTATTTGTCCCGCGGATCACCGGCGCAGATGTGAGTCGCCGAGTCACAGCCGCTCCTTAGCGGCTATGTCCCGGCGATTGTCGGCAAACAGTGACAGACAGCACAGCTGCAGTAGTTGTGCTGTCTGTCACTTCCCTGTCAGCTCGAGGATGAGCTGATCGAGAAAGAAGAGTTTCTCTTTCTCGATCAGCATTGTCCCGTCCAGTACACACCCCCGCCCCCTAGTAAAACACTCCCCTCACTCCTATAACCCTTCCCTGCAAAATAAAGTTAACCCCTTCCTCCCCATTGCCATTAGTACAGTGTGTTTTTGTGTTTTTTTTTTTTTTTTTTGCACTGATCACTGTATTAGTGTTTTTTGGGGATGTCAGTGACCCCAAGTCAGTACCCCCCAATGTCAAAATGTCCGCACAGTCCCGCCATAAGTCGCTGCTATAAGTCCCTGATCGCCGCCATAATTCGCTGATCGCCGCCATTATTAGTATAAAAAAAACCCTAAAAATCCCAGTATCTTTCCCGCCATTTGTAAACGCTATAACTTTCACGTAAACCAATTAATTTACACGTATTGGGTTTTTGTTTAGCAAAGACATGTCGCAGAATGCATTTTGGCAGAAATTTATGACTAAATTAGATTTTTTGCATTTTTTTTTTTTACTGGACATGTTTTATAGCAAAAAGTCCAAAATATTGTTTTTTTTTTTTTTCCCTCAAAATTGTCAGCCTTTTTTTTTTTTATAGCGCAAAAAATAAAAACCGCACAGGCAATCAAATACCACCGAAAGAAAGCTCAATTTGTGGGGAAAAAAATGATGTAAATTTCATTTTTGTACCATATTGCATGACCGCGCAATTGTCCGTTAAACTAGCGCAGCGCTGTATAGCAGAAAAATAGAGTAAATTGCAGTATTTATACTATAGTTTGTAGATGCTATAACTTTCCACAAAAAGCAATCAATATACACTTTTTGGAATTTTTTTTTTTAGCAAAAGCATGTAGCAGAATACATTTTGGCCTAAATTTATAACCAACTTTGAGTTTACTATATATTTTTTATAGCTGAAAATAAAAAATATTGTTTTTCTTCAAACTTTTTGGCCTTTTTTTTGTTTATAGGGTGAAAAATAAGCGCACAGGTGATCAAATTACACTGAAAGAAAGCTCGATTTGTGTGAAAAAAGGAAGTAAATTTTGTTTGGGTGCAGCATTGCATGACGGCGCAATTATCAGTTGAATTAGTGCAGCGCCGAGTAGCAAAAAGAGGCCTGGTCATTAAGGGGGGTAAATCCTCTGGAGCTCAAGTGGTTAAGGTTGGTGGTCAGTATAAGGAGGAGTAGTGCCCCATCATTGGTCAGTGGAAGAAATAGTGCCTCATATCATTGGGAGGAATAGTGCCCTAAGGGCTGGATAAAGGCAAGCAAGGGGCCACATCCGGCCTTTGGGCAACAGTTTGGAGACCCCTGGTATAGAACATGTGAGATAACAAGGGGACAGATATTCTTCTGTCACCAAGCTTTAAATATATACACTTAGAAGCTATAGGCAGCAATAGTAAACTATTAAATAGAGAAACACTTGCCTAATAATCCCTGCTTCTGG